TGGCGGGCTACGGGCTTAGGAAGGGAGTGGTAGGGAGGGGTGGGGTCGTCATCTGTGGCGTCGAGAAATTTTAAATTGTGGGGTGTGAGGGGGTGACCATATGGAAAACTAGATTCGTCAAAAATGACATGGCGAGAGATGATGAGTTTGTTAGTTTGAAGGTCCAAGTAGCGGTAGCCGCATTGGTTGGAGGGATAGCCGAGAAAAATGCAGCGAGCTGAGCTCGGCGTTAGTTTGTTAGGGGTGGTGGCAGAGATATTAGGGTAACAGAGATAGCCAAAAACACAGAGATGGGAGTATGAGGGTGGTGAGTTGTAAAGGATAACATGGGGGTGTTGTTATTTAGAGTGGTGGTGGGAAGTATATTAAAAATGTGAGCTGCCATGTGAAAGGACTCAACCTAGAATTGGGGCGGGAGTTGGGCTTGGAAAAGGAGGGATCTAACGGTGTTGTTAAGGGTGCGTAGGGTGCGCTCAGCTCGACCGTTTTTTGACTGGTGCGTGGACATGAAAATCTAAAGAGGATGCCTAAGGAGTCAAAAATATTTTTAAGAGGAGAGTTGTGAAATTCAGTTCCATTATCACATTGTACCACTTTGATTGTTGTGTTAAAATGATTTTTGATATATGCTATAAAAGTGGTTAAGTGATTAAATGCGTCGCTCTTGTGCCGTAAAGGAAACACCCATAAATAATGTGAAAATTCATCTAATAAAATCATGTAAAATTTAAAACCAGTAATACTTGGTACATGAGATTGCCATAAGTCTGAATGTAAAAGCTGAAAAGGAAAAGTAGAGACACGACTAGATGATGAAAAAGGGAGGCGCAAATGCTTTCCCAACTGACATGCATGACATAAAGTATGTTGATAATTCTTAAAATGAGAAATATAAGGGACGCCATGGAGGACAGCTGGACTTGGGTAGCCAAGGCGCCTGTGCCATGTATGATGAATGACAGCAACAACATGAGTCTATGTAGTGGTGCGTCCTACGGGGTAGAGAGGTCCCATATCAATGGATCGATGTATCAAGGTTCCCGTCCGACGATCCTTCATAGAAAAACCATGAAAATTAAATTCAACAGTATAGTTAATATCACGGGTGAGTTGCCGGACACAGATAAGGTTGTGAATGATGTGAGGGGAGACTAAGATGTGATTAAGGGGTAGGGGAGGAGTGGTGGGTATGATGTGGCTTCCAACAGCCGTAGAGCAAACCTTAGATCCATTACCAATAGTGATATAAAATGGTGAACATAATGAATGAGAAGAAGAAACATAAGAAAGGATACCTGGGTCGGATGCGATGTGATGAGAGGCGCCGGTGTCCATAAACTATGTGGGCTCACGTAAAGACATGGTGTCAAATTGGTGGGCCAAGGCAGTGGGGGTAGGTGGTTGGGTTTGCGGGTAGGGTAAAGGGGGGTGGTAAGACCCGCCGGTAGGGGTNGGGGTGGTGGTGTAGTAGGCTTGGGCATGGTGAGGAAGGGGGTAGACATGGGTCGTGGGCCCAACAAGCCCGAATTATGATTTGGGTAAGGTGAGTTCGAGGTGCTGTAGCTGTCGGGATAGGTTCGTTGCCTCGAGCGGCTTTGTTGTCTGTGACCTCTACCCCAAGACCCGTTGCCTCGCCCGCCGCCGCATCCATAGCCGTTGCGCTGTTCGGAGGAGCCGCCCTCACTGTAGCTGCTACTGTGCTGGGGCCCGCCGCCATGGAAGGTGTCGCCGCCACTGCCGTCGTGCTGGGAGCCGCCGCTGGATGGTTGTCGTCCGCCACCGGGAATGCCGGACCGACCGACAAGGAGGGCCGTGCTGCTCGTGTCGGCCATGGGAAAGCGTTGCCAGTCTAGTAACATTAGGGCGGAGAAAAAGACGACTCTACTTTTTGTAGTTTAGTTGAGAGAGGCTGAGAAGAACGGGAACATGAAGTTTGACATTATAGATCGTCGTAAAAGCAAGGTGGGAGGTTTTGCTGGGATGGTGTGGGAGGTGACCTCACTGTCGGCCATTGGAGAGGAGAAGGAGAAGTGTAGGTGGCCGTAGGGAAGCCGCTGCCTGACGCCGGCGAAGGGGGTGAGGCGGTTGGCGCGCCGCTGGAACAGCCGAGAGAGAGAACCGAGAGGTAGGGTTAGGGTTTGATTTTTTTTGTTTAATTAGGCTCCGATACCATGAAGAATAATGGTTTTCCTTGATTGAATAGAGATGTGTTTATATGTATTTATATAAGGAGTCTCAATCCTAAACATGGTAGGAGAGACATATATAAGGAAACCTATACAAATAAGGTAAGAGAATAATATAATATATTAAATATAAACAATATATTTAACAATAATAAATAGAGAAGTCATACAAGAGTATTAGTACTTGAAGGACAACACAAATTCTAAAGAGAAACACAGATTATGAAAGGTAAATTATGAACTTCATTGTCAGAGGAATATGAAGTAAATTTGATAGGGAAAACAAGTGGAGCATAACATTCTACCTTTAGAAATCGATACAAATTGAGAAAAAATATATTTTTTGGCCCAATAAAAAGTGTGTCATTGCAATACAGAGTGTACAAATCCTTGAAATTAACACAAATCAAGATGCATACTTTAATGCGTACATACCTAAGGTTAACAGGAATTCTAAGTTGTGAACACATAATCTCTTTCCAAATATTTAACTGTGTACTGGTCAATAAAATAGTAATGCTTAGAGTAAAATATCTAGAATAAATTGGAGATCTGAGAAGTACAGTTACAAATCACCCCAAATAAAAGAGCTAACTTTCCCCTAGGATGTAGATTGCACCCGACCCTTATTGTGGTGTGCAAATGACGGAAGATTTACAGCCAGTTCTTTAGCCACTTTACCCGTGGTGCAACTAGAGACCAAATTAGAGCTTTATTAGTGACCATCACTTTCTCTCTATGTCTCTAAGTGCAAAAAAAGATGATACTAAAGACCGAAGCTTTATATTGACAAGAGATGCTTACTGACAAAAATTCAAGATGACATAGATTATCGGAGAAATAACTCAAATAAGAGATGTGGGACACGGCATCGATTATCGAAGATGTTGGGATGCTGGAGATGGGGTTGATTATCGGATATTTGATAGATGTGGGAGATGGCGTTAGATCTGCGTCGTCTTTGTAATTTAAGAAGTCGTCTGCGTGAATTAGTGAGTGGAAAAGGCATCGATCTTTTTTATCCGCGGCATATTGTATACTGGGTGGGCTAGTTAAGGTCTTCGCCACGCGGAATTAAAGATTTAAATCCAGTCCATTTTTCCTCTCAAGAATAGACAACAGTGGATTTGGTTTATACGTTGTCTATTTTGCGTTGTTACATAATCATTTTGTAGTAGTGATGCTTGTGCTTGTGTTTTAGCATTTTGTTTAGTCATCCTACTGCAACTTGGCATCTCCTATCATGACAAGGAGTCTGAAGATACTGATGTACTACCTGAACTACGCAAGGTGAAGTTGCGATATCATAAACCTCTATGGGTGTTGGAGTTTATCTCAAACTCAGCATTTCATGGATCATGGGAACACTTAGTTGGTAGTCAGTTTAAGACTCCTTGAAGCCAGTATGTTAGGGTTCGATCCTCACACAGTCACACGTATATAAATAACACAGGAGTTCTCACGAGCTTAGTGGAGAGAAGAAGAGAAATCCATAGAGTCCCACAAGAGACAAGAGGTCATGCCACATTCTTTATCTTAGTATAGTGTGAGGTTGAACTTCAGTCGTGGATAGACACCCTAGACATATGCCATTACTAGTTGTAAAATCCAAGACCAAGACATGATACACAAATCTAGGAGTTGAGTATTGTGTTGCCCTGGAGGAAGGTTGAATCCACGTCTTTGGAAGAAACCTAGAGAGGGTGTAACACGCTAAGGTGATGGGTGCAAACTAGGGCTGTCAACGGATAGCCGAAAATCCGTTTACCGTCCGCATCCGTATCCATTTAAAGAAGGAATATATGTATCCATTTTAAACGGATATTATCCGTATCCGATTAAAGGTATCCGATTACTAAACGGATACAAATATGGTAATTGTATATCCGATCCGTTTAAAATCCGATCCGAATATACATCCGTTTAAATAACCGTTTATCAATATCCGTTTATCCGAATACCGAATACTTTTTTGAATAAATATAATCCTAGTACCAAGTATTTACATAGTTTGGCATTGCTAATTTATTTGTTAATTCCCAATATGTTACCCTATTATGTAAAAAAAGAAAAAGCCCACAAAGAAATTTTTAAGAACAAAAGTAAAAAACCTACTTCAAAACATGTTAACAGGTTTGGTATATTTTGGGTTTTGAAGTATGAAGCAAGTGAAATAGCTTGCAATTTTGGATGCATCAAAGATTATCTTCTTGAGAGAATTTTGAGATGTATTAAATACGATTTGTACTTTATTGATTAGAAATATATATTTTTGTTCGTATTATTAGATATTTGGTAAAATATTGACTATTGTTTTTTTGTATCATAAAGTTTTTTTTGGTATTAATGTATTACGGACTTCAATTACAGTTTTGGACTGTGTTTAATTTATTTATAAATAGATTTGGATATCTAATTGGATTTTTTAATGGACTCGGATATTTTCAGATTCGGTTACTTTCAGATATCTAATCGGATTCGGATATTCGATTACTTTCGGATATCTAATCGGATTCAGATATATCCGAAACTGATAATTATCCGTCGGATACAGATTCGGATATAGTATAGTAAATATCCGCCGGATACGGATACGGATTCAGATATTCCTAAACTTAAACGGATTCGGATTCGGATATGCCATATCTGTAACGGATATTATCCGTTTACACCCCTAGTGCAAACGGAGTTTGACATCTGAGGTCTGTCGTAAGTTTCTCCTTATCAAAGCATTATAAGGTTCTATTGTGTTTGATTTGTAATGATGTAGTGGAGGACTGCTACACGAACGTGGGCCTTGCAGATGTAAGAGATTCAGCTCCGATCTGCGTAAACAAATTTATTGTGTGTCGCGTTCTTCTTTATCTTTATGTTTGTTGTGATTGGATGTGCCGTGTGTTACAACATTAGCTCTGTCATCATCATTAGTGATCTAGTACAATATTCGGTATAACCCTCTGTGAGTGTGCACTATTCCATAAGATAAGCAGGTGGTATATCTCATAGAGATTTCACGATATTCTTCCTTAAGAAACACAATTAAGCGAATATTCGAAATATTCAAGTCACGATTCACAATATTCAAAACAATGCCACCATTTTCAAACAAGATACAAGTAAAATTGGTTTTAGCGTGTGCAGGACTACACAATTTTTTCGATGTGAATATCGCTCAGATGAATTCCCTCCCGCTTCGGCCAGATGAAGACACAATAAATGAAACGGATGAGAGTTATGAATGAGATGCTACTCAAACACAAAATCAACAATGAGATAACGCTAATGAATGGAGATTGAATGTTGCAAATTCTATGTGGACAACACCTAATAGTAAAAATAATTAATTTTTCTACGTTATTTATTTTACTAGAGCTTGTTTTCATTTTCTGTTGGAACATTTGATTGAGATGGTGAATACAATACAATACAATACAATATTTTCTATCTATTTTATTAGAATACTAAATTTTCTCCTTTGCGCTTGGTCAATTTTAATTTTTAAAGTCAAACTTGATAAATTCTAATAATCGATTAAATAAAAATTACATTATCAATTAGTATTAAAAACAATGTAAATAGAATTATCTTGTAAAGAATATTAAAAAAATTTATCAAGTCTTAGATAGAAAACTTGATATCAATTACTCCCACCGTCCTATAATGATCTTCCAGAGCATTATTCCAACTTCACGGGAATTTATATTTATTTGTGTTTTTTCATGGCTTATATGATAAAATAAAATATTTTTGTCACCACTTGTTTTGTTGAACTTTTGGTGTAGTTTTTAAATATGTATGTTTTATTTTTTATTTCTATACCAATATTTAAATAAAATAGATTAAAAAAACTTGAGATTTTTCTTTGTTTTGCGAACCGGGAAGATCATTATAGGACGGAGGAAGTAGTATTCTAGTAATCAATTAGTTTTTAATTGAATTAAAATTTTGTATTAATATAAAATACAATATAATATAAATACATTATTTATTTTGTTAATATAAAAATCATGTTGTTATTGATATAAAAAATATAATATTAATTGATGTTTAATTACATTGTTTTTAATACATTGTTTTTAATTACATTGTTTTTAATTGATTATTTAATTGATTAATATAATTTTTATATTAATACTAATTGATATAATTTGTATAAAATTTTTAATTGAATTAAAATTTTATATTAATATAAAATACAATATAATATAAATATATTATTTATTTTGTTAATATAAAAATCATTTTGTCATTAATATAAAAAATATAATATTTATTTATTAAGAATTAAAATAATCTAATTTGAGTGCAAAAAGTAAAACAGTGGACAAATATAGATGAAGGAGTTAAAGTCTATGAAAGTTATACAAATAAAAGTCCACGGACTTGTTAAAATAAAAAAGAAATCATTCATATTAAATCAACGACTTTTTAAATATCAATTGAAGTCCATGAGTTTCAACAAATTCCATTGACATTTAGTGAGTGTTTCTCTCATTCTCTGTGCGAGTGCTTATTGACTTATTGCTAATAAAAAGTTTTTATCTTGCAAGTACCTTATAAGTCATGTATTCATTAATGGAAGTAAAAAGACTTAAATGATATATAAGCCATTTGGAAATATTCATAAGTAGTGAGGAACAATTTCATAAATAATTTGATTAAAATGAATTTACAAAAAAAATTAGTTTAAAAATATATAGTTAAGACCGACTTATTTTTGGCTTTGTAACTAATTTATAAGTATACAAAAATATGTCATTAGTCGATTTATAAGCAATTTTGACCAATTTATAAACCTAGAGAGACATTACTTAAACGAATGAAATAATGAATAGAAATGATTGATTTTTAAAATATGAATAGAATTCCATTTACAATATCCCCTAAACCTTTGTTAGTTATGTACTCTCTCCGTCCCAAAAAGTCTTTCCTGTTTTATTTTTTGCGCATTCCATAAAACACTTTTAACGACATCTAAAATGCCTAAAATTTACAAAATTTCTTCTTTATTGTGGGTAGAAGTTATTTTAAAAGTTTTTTTGGCATTCAAGACGAGATAGAAGTATTTTGTGAGATGCCCAAAAAATAAAACATATTTTTGGGAAGTAGGAGTATAAGGGAGTAGTATCATTTACTGAGGGTGTTATATATACACGAAGTACCCAGTAGGGCTTTGTATCCACCGTCGTTCTCCGATCCAGTGCGGCCTTACTTCGTTTTTCTCTTAGATTCGTCCACCGTGACCTCTGCCTGGCGACGGCAACATTAAGAGACGACGAAGACACGACAACAACCTCCCATCTGATCGGCACTCTTAGATCTCCTTCTTCTTGGCGACACGACGGCAGTGACGGCCTTTTTTGCAGCTCACCATAGTGACCAGACGGTCCACACTGGAGTTGGAGCACATCTACACCTACTATTTCATACTTTGAATTAAGGTATTCAAATTTTAATCTAGTAGTTCCATTCTGTCTGTTGCTACCATCTCGAGATACGTTTTAATGAGTTTATACTAAGTCTTAGTGGTAGCAATTGAAATGGGTAATTCGAATGCGTAACGAAGGAGTAATACATAATTGGGTTATTTCTGTTTTCAATGGACCAACGAACCCTCAGGCATGCTTTTCGTTTGTTCAATACATATGCAGTCATTAGGGTTTCTTAACTTGAATGCTGTAGTCCGAAATGTGGAACCAAGAGATGTGGAATAACAACGCACCGCCTGGCACATCTGGGGGAGCACCAGCTCTCCCACCCGGAACAGGTGGTGCGCTGCCGCCAATAATGCCTCCTGGAACAAGTGGGGCAGCTCCTTGCACTAGCGGTGGCCTACATCCACCGCCTTCGTATACTGTTTTGCCAACAGAGGCTCAGCTCGAAGAGAAAGCCCGGAAATGGATGCAGTTGAATTCGAAGAGATACAGTGACAAAAGAAAGTTCGGTTTTGTGGAGACTCAGAAAGAGGATATGCCTCCTGAGCATGTTAGGAAGATTATACGGTAAGTGTTCTATGCATATGTCTTTTTTTAAATTTAGAAATTCTTGTTCAATCTTTGGTACATCTACTGTCAATCGTACATTGATGTATGTATATATATGTGTGTGTGTGTACACACACACACATATAAGTCAATTTATACCTCAAACTCGCACGAAATCTTATTGAATGAAGGAGCTCTCATACAAAATATCACATAATGGGAATGATAGGGAGATAATGTAGCTGTATAGTTGTTAACTGTCCAATCTTGCAGGGATATTATCAAAATTACCTCTTTCACATGAACTCACATCATTACTTCTGTAGCATTGTGCTTGGTGTTGTCCATATTGTTTTCATCAGTAAACCATCCTTTCCGCATATCCCTTTAAAGAAATAAAAATGGACTGAACTCTAAATGTTTTTTTCCTTTTGTTCATCTTGCAGGGACCATGGAGACATGTCTTCTAAAAAGTACCGTCATGATAAACGTGTTTACCTTGGAGCTCTCAAGTTTGTTCCACATGCTGTTTACAAGCTCCTTGAAAACATGCCCATGCCTTGGGAACAAGTATGTTCCTTTTTTCTTCTTGTTGATGCCTTCACACATGCACATTTTTTTTAGTAGGTCCAAAAGTGTCAATGTGAAAAGACCCATGTATTTACTTTCCTTGAGCTTACTCTTAAAAAGTATCATCTTTATAGGTGCGTGAAGTGAAGATTCTGTATCACATTACTGGTGCTATCACATTTGTTAACGAGATACCTTGGGTCGTAGAGCCAATCTATCTAGCACAGGTTTGCACCCTTTTTTGTTAGATAAATAGCTTCCTACATGCATACATCCAGTTTTGTTTAACTGGATATAAGTCGCTAATAATTTCAAAATTATTTGTTAGTATTCTACTGACTTATAAATGCTTTTGTAATCTTGCAGTGGGGTACAATGTGGATTATGATGCGGCGAGAAAAGAGAGATCGTAGGCATTTCAAAAGAATGCGTTTTCCTCCATTTGACGACGAGGAGCCGCCGCTTGATTATGCTGATAATCTTTTAGATGTCGATCCTTTGGAGCCAATTCAGTTGGAGTTGGAGGAAGAAGAAGATTCTGCAGTTTATAACTGGTTTTATGATCATAAACCTCTAGTGAAAACAAAGCTTATTAACGGTCCTAGTTACAGAAGGTGGCACTTATCTCTTCCAATTATGGCAACACTACACCGCCTCGCTGGGCAGCTGCTTTCAGATTTAACCGATCACAATTATTTTTATTTGTTTGATATGCACTCTTTCTTCACAGCTAAAGCATTGAACATGTGCATTCCTGGTATGTAATGGATGTCCAACTCATTGATCTTCTGTACCTTGTTTCTTAACAGACTTTATGTTGCTGTTTCCCTTTCATTGCTCAAGTAGTACTTCAATGAATCGTACTGTAGGATTCTTATAGTTTATCTTATCATACAGCTTAGTGTGCCATATCTGCAAAAATGTTTGATGGTCTTGTATATTTTTTATCTTATAAGATTGTTTCCTTAAGAAATTTCTCCTTTGCAGGTGGACCCAAATTTGAGCCTCTGTATCGTGATATGGAAAAAGGCGATGAAGACTGGAATGAATTTAATGACATCAATAAATTGATCATTAGGTCACCTCTCAGGACTGAGTACAGAATTGCATTCCCCCATCTCTACAATAACAGGCCAAGGAAAGTGAAGCTTTGTGTTTATCATACTCCTATGATCATGTACATCAAAACTGAGGATCCCGATCTGCCAGCTTTTTATTACGATCCTTTGATACATCCGATAACATCTAAGGAGAAAAAGGAAAAGAGAAGTCATGAAGATGAGGATGATGAAGATTTTGAATTGCCTGAGGGTGTTGAACCATTGCTCAAAGATACCCCACTATATACTGATACTACTGCAGCGGGTATATCACTTCTGTTTGCCCCGCGTCCATTTAACATGAGATCTGGCCGCACTCGACGTGCTGAGGATATACCACTAGTTTCAGAGTGGTACAAGGAACATTGGTATGTCATGTTTTTTGATAGGTGATTTAATTTGTCCATGGCAGATTTAATTATTTCTGTTTAAGTTATGGTTTTTAAATTTTGCAGTCCACCATCATATCCTGTCAAGGTCCGTGTCAGTTACCAGAAATTGTTGAAATGCTTTGTGCTTAATGAACTGCATCATAGGCCACCTAAGGCTCAGAAGAAGAAACACCTATTCCGTTCTCTACAGGCTACAAAATTTTTTCAAACCACAGAACTTGATTGGGCCGAAGCTGGCCTTCAAGTTTGCAAGCAGGGATATAATATGTTGAATCTCCTGATTCACAGAAAGAATCTAAACTATCTTCACCTTGATTATAACTTCAATCTCAAGCCTGTGAAGACACTTACAACCAAGGAACGCAAGAAATCTCGCTTTGGTAATGCTTTCCATCTTTGTCGTGAAATTCTACGTTTGACAAAGCTTGTAGTTGACGCGAATGTCCAGTTCCGTTTGGGGAACGTAGATGCATTTCAGTTGGCAGATGGCTTGCAGTACATATTTTCACATGTTGGCCAGTTGACTGGAATGTATAGATACAAGTACCGGCTCATGAGACAGATTAGGATGTGCAAGGATTTGAAGCATTTGATTTATTACCGATTCAATACTGGTCCGGTTGGGAAGGGGCCTGGTTGTGGGTTCTGGGCACCAATGTGGAGAGTATGGCTGTTTTTCCTTCGTGGCATAGTGCCTCTTTTGGAAAGATGGCTGGGAAATTTACTTGCTAGGCAATTTGAGGGACGTCATTCTAAAGGAGTAGCTAAAACTGTTACCAAACAGCGTGTGGAAAGTCACTTTGACTTGGAACTTCGTGCTGCAGTTATGCATGATGTACTTGATGCTATGCCAGGTGCGATTTGTGGGCTTCCTCTTCTCCATGGTTTTAGATTTTGACCTTACCCTTCTTTCCCGTAACAGTAGTGATGTTTGTGCATTTCAGAGGGTATCAAGCAAAACAAAGCAAGGACCATCTTGCAGCATCTAAGCGAGGCTTGGCGTTGTTGGAAAGCCAATATTCCATGGAAGGTGTGATACTCAAACTCTCTAGATTGGTTTGTGTCGTTGAATGATAACTAAATGTCAGAATATAGATTTATGTTCTAGGTTTTAACCCGGTTGACCATTACTTTCTTATTAGGTGCCTGGCTTACCAGTTCCCATTGAGAACATGATTCTTCGGTATGTGAAATCAAAGGCAGATTGGTGGACAAATGTTGCCCACTATAATCGAGAACGTATTAGAAGAGGTGCAACTGTTGACAAGACAGTGTGTCGAAAAAATCTTGGGAGATTGACCCGTCTATGGTTGAAGGCAGAACAGGTGATGTTTGTTTTCATGCCTTTTTACACATTTCTTGAACTATTGTATGCAGATTTCATCTTTTGATATGATTGTTCTAGCCTGTTTTTTTATTTTATATTTTCTTGATCTGATGGTCTTTCAAAAGCAGACTCAACTGTTTAGGTAGGGCTAAGGTTTGTTTACACCCACCCCAGGCCCCTTCTGTGGGAGGTTACTGGGTTGTTGTACAGTTTTTGGAACTGCAGTCATTTAGGTTCTTTTGTCCTATGAAATGCATATTCAAGGTGTACTTAATTTGCTCTCTTCATTATATCAGGAACGTCAGCACAACTACCTGAAGGATGGTCCTTATGTCACACCAGAAGAAGCAGTGGCTATTTATACCACTACTGTGCATTGGTTGGAGTCGAGGAAATTTTCTCCTATTCCATTCCCACCTTTGTCATATAAGCATGATACGAAGCTTCTAATTCTTGCTCTCGAGAGATTAAAAGAATCTTACAGTGTGGCTGTAAGGTTAAATCAGCAGCAAAGGGAAGAGCTAGGTCTCATTGAGCAAGCTTATGACAATCCACATGAGGCATTGTCAAGGATTAAGCGTCATCTGCTCACCCAGCGCGCCTTCAAAGAAGTAACGGACAATTAACTTGAGAACATTTGTGATTAAGTGTTTGTTGGGGATTTTTTTTTAATTTTTATTTGAAAGTTCAGTGTTGTTTTCCTTCAAACTGTAATTAACTAGATGTTGGGTTCTTTGCTAGGTTGGCATTGAGTTCATGGACTTGTATAGTTATCTGATTCCAGTCTATGAGATTGAGCCACTTGAGAAGATCACTGATGCATACCTTGACCAATATCTATGGTATGAAGGTGATAAGCGAGTGGACAAGGGTTTAACCCAATTTGGACGACTAAGTCTCGGTGGCGGTGAAGATCAGATGTTCACCACGGTCCCGTAGTTGTTGAACGTCCTTTATACCCTGTGGTCACTCCCTGTTACACAACACTACGAAGTTTGATTTAAACTCTTTAAGAAACTCTTTTAACTAAATTGGTACGAATTATCCATTCACGACGATCTTTTTCAGAATTGCATTGACCTGGAGTGCAACAATCTATTGTTGCTCATTTTCACATTTTTACTGCTGCAGGCTTCTCAGGTTGGTGCTAGACCACAATATTGCTGATTATGTCACCGCAAAGAACAATGTTGTGTTGTCTTATAAAGACATGAGCCACACAAATGCATATGGATTAATACGTGGTCTGCAGTTTGCATCTTTTGTTGTTCAGTATTATGGGCTTGTACTTGATCTTTTGCTTCTGGGGTTGACTCGAGCGAGTGAAATTGCTGGTCCGCCACAGATGCCGAATGAGTTCATTACTTATAATGATACCCGAGTTGAGAAACGGCATCCCATTCGTTTGTACTCTAGGTACATTGATAAGGTGCATATACTGTTTCGCTTCACTCATGAAGAGGCTCGGGATCTCATCCAGCGATATCTTACTGAGCATCCTGATCCTAATAATGAAAACATGGTTGGTTATAACAATAAAAAGTGCTGGCCAAGAGATGCACGGATGAGACTCATGAAACATGATGGTAGCTTTCTTTATTCCTCAAATAGTGTTTTAGTCAAGATTGGTATGTATCTTTTTGTTATTGAGTTTCTTTCTATAGCTGATTATTTTATTNTACATTGATAAGGTGCATATACTGTTTCGCTTCACTCATGAAGAGGCTCGGGATCTCATCCAGCGATATCTTACTGAGCATCCTGATCCTAATAATGAAAACATGGTTGGTTATAACAATAAAAAGTGCTGGCCAAGAGATGCACGGATGAGACTCATGAAACATGATGGTAGCTTTCTTTATTCCTCAAATAGTGTTTTAGTCAAGATTGGTATGTATCTTTTTGTTATTGAGTTTCTTTCTATAGCTGATTATTTTATTTATGAATATTTCAGTTAATCTTGGAAGAAGTGTCTTCTGGGACATGAAGAACCGACTGCCAAGAAGCATCTCCACATTGGAATGGGAGAACAGTTTTGTCTCAGTGTACAGTAAAGATAACCCGAACTTGCTCTTCAGCATGTACGTATATAGTGTGGTCAAACACTAACTGATTCATTTATTTCTTTTCTTTTTTGCATTGAGTGGTATTTTAAGGTGTTTGATATGCATCATGTATTCTTATTGCATTCATTTCTTATCTAAACATCACTCTCAATTGCTTATAGAAGTAGCTTTCTCAATTCTTATTCTTGCTTCTTAGATACAACGTGCAACATTAAGGTTGTTCTGTTTGCATTATTTTCCTTGTGCTTTAGAATACTGACTTCAGAAATCAGAACCCTTTCATTGTACTCTTAATCTTATTGTTTTACATCTTGCTGGACTACAGATCACAAACATGATTCTGGGATGGCTAAATTAGTCTTGTTTTTTGGTGGCATCTAATAGAGCTTAAATTTCTTCATGTAAAATGTGATTGTGCAGGTGTGGGTTTGAGGTTCGGATATTGCCAAAGATAAGAATGACTCAAGAGGCATTCAGCAATACACGGGATGGAGTTTGGAATCTGCAGAATGAGCAGACGAAGGAACGCACAGCCATCGCTTTTTTGAGGGTGGATGATGAGCATATGAAGGTGTTTGAGAATCGTGTTCGGCAGATCCTCATGTCCTCTGGCTCTACAACGTTTACAAAGATTGTTAACAAGTGGAATACAGCTCTTATAGGTAAATACAATTTCTTTGCATTGGAATATCTAGATTTGCATGTTTGTTCTTGACATTTTCCCTTTACTGAAGAGTGAGTTGTATCTCCTTGTATGATAGGTCTCATGACATACTTCCGGGAAGCAACAGTGCATACTCAGGAGCTTCTGGATCTTCTGGTCAAATGTGAAAATAAAATACAAACTCGCATCAAGATAGGGTTGAATTCAAAAATGCCCAGCAGGTATCTGGACATATCTCTATATGTTTTATTTTCGTTCTCTTTGCTTTTCTCCCTTGCCCATTTTAAGTTATAGGCCTGTACCACAATTAGTTGTTTTCAACTACAAGAAATAATAACTGAATATTTGCTTGATGGCAATCCTTGTTGAAGTGTTATCTTAATCTTCATTACTCATTGCTTGCATCAAATTTCAAAGCATTATCTAGTGATGGAACTTATCTTTTTCTCCGGCATTTGAAGGTTCCCTCCTGTAATCTTCTATACCCCGAAGGAAATTGGAGGACTAGGAATGCTGTCAATGGGTCACATATTGATCCCTCAGAGTGATCTCCGATATAGTCAGCAAACAGATGTTGGAGTGTCCCATTTCAGGAGTGGGATGACTCATGACGAAGACCAACTGATTCCTAATCTTTACAGATACATACAGGTGTGATTTTCATTCGTGTGCATAGATGACATAAAAAGAGGCGGACATCAGTTGGAAAGCTAGTCCAAAGCCTGACCCATTTATTAAACAAGCTTTTCTTTTTGTCCAACACTAAAAATTTGGGCCTTAATTTTTTGTCCAAGCCCACTTAGAAGAGGTCAGGCCTTTGGGCTGGTAGCTTGGCTCATGTCCACCTCTAGTCATAATAACTGAGCTTATTACAACCAAAGTTATGAATATTGTGCCTGACTGTGTACCAATGTTCAAGTAGAATGGTATGTACCGGAATGGTTCCAATATGTCCGGTATTGGAATAAAAATTAAGGTATGCAAAAATTATAAATTTGTCCAACAAAGCTGGATAACTTGGTCCCATGCGATACTTCACACAAAAGAGAGTAATTAGTTAGAGGCGTTCATGCATCAGTCAGTAGGAGAAATGAGGCTGGTACTGGCCATCTTAGCCGGTAAGAGTGGTACCAGCCAATATATCCTACCAACTTCCTCCATTTTGGTTTAGAACCAAACAACACATATCACCAGAATAAATAGTGGTATCGTTGTGTATAGAGTAATTTCCCAAAAATGTCCTTTATAACATGGGGGTTTTCACGTATAGTGCACTTTTGTGAAAGTATTATATTCTTGGTACTATGTAAGTATATATTCGGGAACTATCTCACGGTAAGACTTTTTGAGGGATTGGAATAGCCCCCAAATATTGAGGACCACTAATATGTACATAAAGGATTTGTCTTGGAATGATTTCCAAATATAGCGGACCATCTATATAATACTTTCATAGAAAGGACTATGAGCTTGTTCTCTTCATCTGATTTCATCAGGCTGACATGAATTTATTCAGGTCTAATCTAATCTAATTCTTTCTGATCTGAATATGTTTGGTCTGATCTGAAAGTGATCTAATCCTATTAAAGTTAAAGTTGTATATGTTTCTGATCTGATTCCAATAAGTCATAAGTAATAAGAATATTGAAGATAACATGGCCTACATGTGATTAGGAAATTACTATACTGTTATAACAATGATTACAACATGACTAAAAACTATATTTTTTCTGTTGTATCGAGACAATTCAGCTTGCCCATAAATCTTGGATTTTCAGTGAGGAGAAGAAAAGCTAGTCTAACATCTGTAATAGCTAAATACTCTTAGCTATTGATTAATTTCTTGTTGCTTTGTGGTCTCATTTTTATGACTATTGATTAATTTCTTGTTGCTTTGTGGCAGCCATGGGAGAGTGAGTTTATTGATTCACAGAGAGTTTGGGCTGAGTATGCATTGAAGAGGCAGGAAGCCCAGGCTCAGAACAGGCGTTTGACTCTTGAAGATCTTGAAGTGCGCACTACCATTTGTGTTTTTTTTGTTCAATTTTATATCAGTAAAATTATTATGAGAAGTCTTTGATTATGTTATGTTGGAATTACTTATAATGTGATCACTGATGCAGTCACCATCATCAGTACCCTAATCCCAACTAGTTGGGGTGATGACATTAAATTTGTATGGAAATTCAATTCCACATTTGGCTTTCCTCCAGATGTATTCCAACATTTATGTGCCTCTTCTTTCATTTCCCTTATTCCCTCTTCTAAATTTGTTTGTAGGATTCTTGGGATCGTGGGATACCCCGTATAAATACTTTGTTCCAAAAAGATCGTCACACCCTCGCATATGACAAAGGATGGAGAGTAAGGACTGATTTTAAACAGTACCAAGTTCTCAAGCAAAATCCTTTCTGGTGGACACATCAGAGACATGATGGAAAGCTTTGGAACCTGAACAACTATCGGACAGATGTAATTCAAGCTCTCGGAGGAGTTGAAGGAATTCTTGAGCATACACTATTTAAGGGAACATAGTATGAACTCTCTCCCTTGACCTAAACAAATAAATACATAAACACATGCAGCATTAGAAACACATGTGAATAGGGCATTTATTTTAGGATTTTCTTTATCAACTTGATAACAATTACTGCTCTAGAATGAACTATTGTTTTGATATATATATATGTGTATGTATGTATGTATATTTATTTTTATTTATTTTTATTTATTTCCAGCTTCCCTACATGGGAGGGGCTTTTTTGGGAAAAGGCTTCAGGTTTTGAGGAGTCCATGAAGTACAAGAAATTGACAAATGCACAGAGATCTGGGCTGAACCAAATCCCTAACCGTAGGTTCACACTATGGTGGTCACCTACAATAAATCGTGCCAATGTTTATGTTGGTTTCCAAGTGCAACTGGATTTGACTGGGATATTCATGCATGGAAAGATACCAACTCTAAAGATCTCATTGATACAGATATTCCGTGCACACTTGTGGCAGAAGATACATGAGAGTGTGGTCATGGATCTTTGCCAGGTTCTTGATCAGGAGTTAGATGCCTTGGAAATTGAAACAGTGCAGAAGGAAACAATTCACCCCAGGAAGAGCTACAAAATGAACAGCTCATGTGCTGACATCCTTCTATTTGCTGCACATAGATGGCTAATGTCAAAACCTAGTCTTGTTGCTGAGTCAAAGGATGTCTTTGACCAAAAGGCAAGTAACAAGTACTGGATTGATGTGCAGCTTAGATGGGGTGACTATGATTCTCATGACATTGAGCGATACACTCGAGCAAAGTTCATGGATTACACGACTGACAACATGTCAATTTATCCATCACCAACTGGTTTGATCTTTCTCCCTCTCTCTGTATATCATACAACTGAACATGTTGATCAGGATGCAGTCAAATCCTGCACTATATTACTTTGCTTGAGAGTATCCTAGCTATTTGTTTTTTTGTGCAGGGGTAATGATTGGACTTGACCTTGCTTACAATCTGCATTCTGCCTTTGGAAACTGGTTCCCTGGGTCAAAGCCTTTGCTTGCTCAAGCCATGAACAAGATTATGAAGGTGCCTTCACTGAAAACACTTCTTCCCATTTGTTCTTTCCTATGTTAAGAAGTACGAACATGACTAATTAAGTTTTTTTTGTCTTTGCATCATGCAGTCAAATCCTGCACTGTATGTTTTGAGAGAACGAATAAGGAAGGGGCTGCAATTGTATTCTTCAGAACCTACAGAGCCGTATCTCTCATCACAGAACTACGGAGAAATATTTAGCAATCAGATAATTTGGTTTGTTGATGACACAAATGTGTATCGAGTTACTATCCACAAGACATTCGAGGGGAATTTAACCACCAAACCTATTAATGGTGCAATATTCATTTTTAATCCAAGGACAGGGCAACTGTTTCTGAAGGTTTGCATTATGAACAACTGTTTTATTTATTCCTTGTGTGTTGCACGGTCTTGATGTAAGTTGTTTTGCAGGTCATTCACACAAGTGTATGGGCTGGACAAAAGCGGTTGGGCCAACTTGCCAAGTGGAAAACAGCTGAGGAAGTGGCTGCTTTGGTGCGTTCTTTACCTGTTGAGGAACAACCAAAGCAAATTATTGTGACTCGTAAAGGAATGCTGGATCCATTGGAGGTTCACTTGCTTGATTTTCCAAATATTGTGATCAAGGGGAGTGAGTTGCAGCTACCCTTCCAGGCTTGTCTTAAAATTGAGAAGTTCGGTGATTTGATACTAAAAGCTACAGAACCACAGATGGTTTTATTCAATATATACGATGATTGGTTGAAAAGCATCTCCTCGTACACAGCATTCTCCAGACTTATCCTCATCTTGCGTGCACTTCATGTGAACAATGAGAAGGCTAAGATGTTACTGAAGCCTGATAAGTCAGTTGTCACTGAAACACACCATATCTGGCCTTCTCTCACTGATGACCAGTGGATGAAGGTTAGTTTTCCTTTGCTAGGAAGTTTTATGCACTCTTTCCTTTTTTCACATTTAGCATGCATTGCTTAGGACTGCAATGTTGGCAGGTTGAGGTTGCTCTCAGAGATCTCATACTCTCTGACTATGCAAAGAAGAACAATGTTAACACATCAGCATTGACTCAGTCTGAGATGCGTGACATTATACTCGGAGCTGAAATCACTCCCCCATCACAACAGCGGCAACAGATCGCAGAGATAGAGAAACAGGTTTGTGCTTAAGTGTCGAGGGCTGTTATTTCATCATGCACGTGACAATTTCTGCTTGACATTTATATGCTTGTCTTGTTCCTATCGTTCACAATTCACTTTTATCCTCTCAGGCAAAAGATAATACTCAGCTGACTGCAGTCACAACAAGGACCACCAACGTCCATGGTGAAGAATTAATTGTCACTACAACGAGTCCTTATGAGCAGGCTAACTATGCCTCAAAGACTGATTGGCGAGTGAGAGCCATTTCAGCCACAAATCTTTATCTCAGAGTTAACCATATTTATGTGAATTCTGAGGATATAAAGGTATTAATTGCTTTCCTTATCACTTGAGAAAATAATTTTTTAATACTGTTACACTGAGGTTATTATGGTTGTTGAATATTCATTTGGTTAAAATGTTGTGCCCTTGCAAGTTGCAATATTCGAAAATTGTGCTTAACTTTTGTATGAAATGTGTATGCAGGAAACGGGTTATACCTACATCATGCCGAAAAACATTTTGAAGAAGTTCATTTGCATTGCTGATCTTCGAACCCAGATTGCTGGGTATTTGTATGGAGTAAGTCCTCCAGATAACCCACAGGTAAAGGAAATTCGTTGTATTGCCATGCCACCACAATGGGGCACCCACCAGCAAGTGCACCTACCATCTGCACTTCCTGATCACGACTTCTTGAATGATTTGGAGCCTTTGGGATGGATGCACACTCAACCTAATGAACTCCCACAGTTATCACCACAAGTAAATACATCTTTTGTTCTTGTAGCTATGTGTTGCTTCTTTCCATTGCTGCTCCCTACCCCAAATGTTTTTTTTCCTTCAAGTAGTGATCATCTTAAGAAATATCATTGCAATCTTTGTAGGACGTTACTTCTCACGCGAGGATTCTTGAGAACAACAGGCAATGGGATGGGGAAAGGTGTATCATTTTGACGTGCAGCTTCACACCTGGGTCTTGCTCATTAACTGCTTACAAATTGACACCAAGTGGGTACGAGTGGGGACGTGCTAATAAGGATACAGGAAGTAATCCTCACGGTTACTTGCCTACCCATTATGAGAAGGTCCAGATGCTACTCAGTGACCGCTTCCTAGGTTTTTACATGGTATGTCCCCTATTTTCTTCATTTTTCTGTTTAAATTTGTGTTTTAGTTATCAGATTTCTATATATATTTATATATGTGTGAACAAATTTTGACGTGGGGAAATTGTTTCACAGATACCTGACAATGAGCCGTGGAATTTCAACTTCATGGGGGTGAGACACTCAGTTAGCATGGGATATGGGGTGAAATTAGGCACACCCCGTGAATACTACCATGAGGATCACAGGCCCACTCATTTCTTAGAGTTCAGCAACATGGAGGAAGGTGAGATTGCCGAAGCAGACCGAGATGACACCTTTTCCTGAGCTTTTTCTTAATCAATGCGGCCGCATTTCTCGCTTGGGAAGCGCACTTGTAATCTTGTATGACTACAAATTTGACTAAAACTGCCAGATGTTAACCGAAAGGATGGGTCCTCAAGCTGGCATGCATCCCAACGAAAGCTATGTTCAATATGTTTGGAATATGTAAATAGATATGTACTGGGATGATTTTAACATTGTGATTTTGTTCAGCTAGCGGAGATTGTAGCTTGCAGTGTATAACTTGAGGTTCATCTCGTGAGTGATCTAAATAGGGTGGCCATGGAACCGGCCCGGGGTTTTGTTTGACATAGAGACATTAGCTATGATACCCTTTATATAGACACAATGAGTATCCTAATACTAATATGCAATTGAGGTGCTAGCTGGAACATTAGTTTGAGTGATGACTGACTACTGATCAGACTCATAAACTAATAAGCACATTTACTCTCAAAGATCAGAAGTAATTCCTGCATGCTGAGGATAAAGCACTTGAGTATGGGGCAGGGCTGCAATGTTGATAATATACATCATACCGCATTATGCATTTTATCATCAAAAAGTGTTTCATTCGAATGACATCGATTATATCCTCCATATATAATGAAATGAAATGGAGCACGTGTGTGTATAGATAAAAAGGCCGGGTACAAATGGTTAATGCCATCTATCAATCTTTATGCTTAGCTACCCCATTCGTTACATTAGTTTGATATACGAGGATTTGTCATACACACCGTACCCCTAGTTGATATAAGCATGCGTAGAGGTGGGTGTATAGTATTTGAACCATTGTTGGTCAGAACGCTAGTATTGGCGATTTGTATTTGAATTCAACGGAATAATTTAGAAAAAAATAACTCAGATAAATTGTAATTTCATCATTAAGGCCGCATGGTCTCCAAGGAATTCAGATTTATGAACTATGAGAGGAAGTGGCAACCGGGAAAGAGGCTCATTCACATTCTATAATTGTGATGTGTCAGTGAAGGATAACGAGCCTAATGGATTACTGGATTAGAAGGGTTGACCCACTATATTATTTGGGGTAAGAGTGTGATTTGAGTTGAACGAAATAGTGTTGTTTTAGTATTGGACTATTGGTAAGGATTGGGTTATTGGCAAGGGCTAAGATCCATGAACAAGTTGTTGCCACTGTTCCACCCACTAGTTGGAGAAGGCCTTGAAAAACATCACTAATATGATGGCAAACGTTATGGAGAGGTTCGACCGAGCACTCCCACGCCCATCCGCTTTCCCTCATGGTCCCATCAACGACCCACAGTAGGTGCTACACACAGCCAGACAATGCTCCAGACCAATTTTCAATATATATATATATATATATACATGGGCCGGTTCACGTGAAAATACACCTTGGTGAAAAAAATAAGAATAAAATCTAGCCTTTGGATTTGATGCATTGTGCAGCTCAGATTACATCCTGCACTCAGATTTTGAGATACATTTATATACATATTCTTATGTATATATGTGTGTGTGTGTGTGTATATATATATATGTATATATATGTGTATGTATGTATATATATATCTGTATATCTGTATGTATGTATGTATGTATGTATAGACCTGGCAAAACAGAACCATAACCGATTACCCGAACCGAAATATCCAAAACTGAAACCGGAATGAGCCGAAAAATGAAGATCCGATCTATAACCAAAAACCCGAAATGATCCGAATCGAACCGAAACCGAACTAAATAATTCATATCCGATTTAAATCTGAAACCAATTAGATCCGAAACCGATAATATCTTAACCGATTAAACCCGATAATACCCGAAACCGATAAAATCCGAAACCGATAATATCCGAACCCGATTAGAACTAAAATCGATAAATTCAGAACTATGTATGCCTTTCAATAAGCATATTATATTTTTAAATTTTTACTTTTATTTTACCATTTGAACTAATTACATTACTTGCTCATTCCCTCATAAAATGGATTATCTGCTAGAAAAAAGGCACAAAATTATATGCCTTAAATTTATTATATGTAGAAATTAAAGATAAGTTATACATATAAATGATAACGCACAAACAAATAAAATTTCTGTAATTTTTAAATAGTGAAGTGTGACTAATTTGTAAAATATGACTAAAAAGTCAAAAGGGGAAGATTATTTAGGTTAGAGATAATATAACTAGAAAAAATATAAAATAATATGAGGTATTGAATTGATGATAGATTGATAAATGTGATAAAACATAAAAAGAAACACGGATAGTTAAATTTTAATTAGAAAATAATATATATCCAAAATATATTTGATCCGAAACCGAAATATATCCGACTCAAATTGTATCCTAACCGAAATCTATCCGAACTGATTTATAACCGAACCGTATTTGAACCGACTCGAAACCGAACCGAACCGAACCGATTATAACATATAACCGAAAGATATCCGAACCGAAAAAATCCAACCCGAAATCGATCCGGTTGATCCGATTGCCACCTCTATGTATGTATGTATGTGTGTGTGTGTGTGTGTGTGTATGTAATTCAGCAAATTAAATCATGCACATTTGTAACATGTGTCATGCCACATGTGTATCACATGTCACGTGGCATGCCATGCGTGCACATTAATTTTTATATTAAATAATTACTATTTAATTATGTTTATAAAATCTTTCGCATTCTAACATTAATACTCATTTTTTATTATATGTTATTCATCGTAACAACTTTTAAAATGTGAAAACTGATTTTTTTTTAATTTAAACATTATATATATATATATATATATATATATATATATATATATATATTATTTTTGAAATAATTAAAAGTATTCACCTTTTAAAAATAACCATTACTTTTATTAATTTTATAAAATCATTCACTTTCGAAGATTAACTAATCATAACTTAACTTCTATAAACCCTTCACTTTCTAATCATTTTATAGAAGTCTTTTTCATTACTTAAATATATACATAACTATATCATTCTTTGAGAAAGTTATATAAAATTTATTAAATAAAAAAGAGTTAATTTCTGAAATGGTACTCAACAAATATGCATTTTTCAAATTAGTCCCATAAATTTACTCATTCATGGTACTAGTTATTTGAGGATAATGATCAGTTTTGTTCTTCCGACTAACGTCCGTTAAAACGGCGTTAAATCTTATGCTACTTTTCCAAAATGGTACACTCTAATTGGGTGTTTTCTCAAATTGGTCTATTTTCAAAATAAAAATATACTCCGTATTATTTAGGAAAAAATATTTTAAATATTATAGGATGGCAATATAATATTAAAGCTACTAGACCAAGATGCATTTCATTTTTTTAAAAATGGAGTATATATTTTTCAAATAACTTGAATAATAGTTTTTTTAAAAAAATCACACAATTAAATGATCACTCAAATAACTATGTAAGAAAACTAATTTTACATATTAAAAAAATTAAACTTTATTCATGCTTTTGGTATATGTTACAAATTTGAATATATAATATTATTGTATAAGCATCATATGTAAATATGTTTTTTAAGTGGATGGAAGAAACATAAAAGAATTTGGGAAAAATTAAAAGAGTTGGAAGAAACTGAAAGAGGTTGGAAGAAATTGGAAGGAACTGGACAAAATTGGATGTTAGTTTTTCTATAGGAAAAGAATATAATAGAGTCTAAGGGGGTGTATTGAATCAAGAATTTGTAGGATTTTTTAAGATTTTAAAAGTTACTAGGTATTCAATTGAGTTTTTAAAAAGTCGTTCAAAATCTGAGGATATTGAATTTAGATTTTAAAATGTATGTTAAAATCTGATGGTATTAAATGATAGAATTTAGGACGAGGTGTGGATCATTGGATTGAGGTATAAGACATTTGGGTTGAACCACATTAAAAAATTGAATCCAATCTATTAATTAGTTCAACTCAAGAGCTTATATACGGATTATTTTGCTCTTGAACTTCCGATGTGGGATGACGCTCTAACACTCCCCTCAAGTGGACAATCGGGCCATTTTGAATCTAACCAGTTGATCACTTGCAAATGAACTCCCATTCCCTTGACTTTTTTTTTGAGCGCCAACACCTAAAGGACCACGAGCCGCCGGGTATGGACTTCTAGACAAGCAATCGTGTTAAACAGGGGACAACCTCCATACGGACAACTGGGTTAAAGACTAACGGGCCGCTAGGAATGGACGTGTAGACAGACACCTTGACAAACAAGGTGGGCTAAAACTGGCTCTGATACCATGATAGAATTTAGGATGGGGTATGGATCATTAAATTGGGCTATAAGACACTTGGGTTGAACCACATTAAAAGATTGAATCCAATCTATTAATTAGTTCAACTCAAGAGCTTATATACCGATTATTTTGCTCTTGAACTTCCGATGTGGGATGACACTCTAACATTAAATAATTTATAGATTTTGAAAGATTTTTATTATATGTTGATTTTGATGGATTTTGAGGTTATTTTTCTAAAGAAAACTCATATCAGAAATCTGTCACAACATGCAAAGATTTTAACTGATTTGGGTATTGGATGGAATAGCCGCTGAAAGACAAACCATTTGAATCCTGCGCAAAGGAAAAAAAGAGTTCGCAGATCTGAACTTGGAAGCGGACGGAGGAAGACGCCCCGACAAGGATTGAGACACCGGCATGGACGGAGATGGGGAAGAAGAAGAAAAAGAAGGGGGAGGAGGAGAAAGAAGAAGAGGCATAGATCTGGCAGGATGAAGGAGGAGGGAGAAAAAGGAAGAAAGAAAAATAAAGAAAGAAAAAAAAGGAGAAAGAAGAAGAGAGATAGATCTGACGAGGGAGAAATGTGGAGAAGAAGAAGGAAGGAGGAGGGGAGGAAGATGAGGAAGAAAAAAAAGAAAGAAAAAAGAAAAAAAGAGAAAGAAGAAGAGGGATATATCTGACGGGGGAGAAAGGCGGAGAAGAAGGAGGGGAGGAAGAGGAGGAAGAAAACGAAAGAAAGAAGAAAAAAAGATAAGAAGAATGAATAGAGGAGAGAAGAGGAAGAAAAGAATGAGTTAGTTGGACAGAGAACCCGAGAAAGAAAGGAAGAAGGAAGAAGAGGAAAAAGACTAATCCAGATAAGTAATCCTACAGAATTCCATAAAGTCCTATTGAGAAATATATTAAAATATACTCCCTCCGTCTTAAATCAACCTTCCCAGTTTGACTTTAGCCCATTTTTAAGAGAAGACTAAAATGGCTTTGATTTGACAAAAATACCCTTCTTCTAAACTTGGAAAAGGGGGATCAGAAGGGAGCAATCCCACCCCACTTCGGAGCAACCCCCAACAATAGCTTGCCTGAAACCATTTCGCAGCAAGCCAAAAATTGGGCAAATGTCACCAAAGTCAAAGCCACTAACGTATCTGGGCAAATCACACAGGAGGCAGTCATGTAGCAGCCAATAATCCACATTGCGATCTGAAAGAGATGGCGGTCTCTTTGTGACTTACTGCTCAGCGACGGGGCGCTCTGCTCGGCGACAATGGAAGCAACGATTAGATCTATTTTTTGACGGAGAAAAGATTAGATCTAGATATTGAAGGAAAAAGAAGATAAGATCTAGATTTTGAAGGAAGAAATATGGAAATGATTAAGCCTAGGTTTTGAGAGAGATGGAGGAAAGATGGGGATAAAAAATTGTTGTGAATGAGAGAGAAGAGAGAAGAAGAGAATGTAGATGGGGACGAGTGAGAGGGAGAGACCGATGGAGAGAAGGGGGTAACAAAGTCTATTCACATTCTTTTTTAATAAGTGAGAATGTAGTTTTAGGACGGAGAAAAAAAAGGAGTGGGAAGATGGTTTTAGGACGGAGGGAGTATCTAATTCTACGTAGATTTAAAATAATCCATAGATTTCACATAATTCATAGATTTTAAATAATCTATCAAACTTTTTTTAAAATCTGAATTGAATACACCCCTAAATGTCTTGAATAGACGTGGTAATTTTTTAATATAAAAATTAGTATCAATGAATCTTTATTTTAAAGAGTTGTTAACCCCATAAGTCTCTCACTTTGCCCATCATTACTATTTAAGAAACGACTAGGGTTGCAACTTTTTGTCTTTCCTTTTGTCCTTTTCTTATTAGAAACTATTTTAGACCACACACTCTTTTCTAAATAAGAAACAACAAAGTAAGAAAAGTATCTTGGTAAATGAAAATGAAACAATAAAATTGTTGTGTGCCAAATAGAGAATAATCATGAATGTTGTGGATTATATTCAAAATAAAAATTAAGTATTGTGCAAATAAAGTTGATTGCTTTCTCTTACTATCTACAATATGCAAATTTGTATGTTCCACAACTGCTGCTGGAAACATATCAACTATTAATATTTTTAACCCCACTAATATTTTGCTAGGCCTCCATTACATTCCTACCATTCTACTAATATTTGGTTTTGTCTCCATTACAGAGCCACCCATCTTCACATATCAACACTAAGCAAAACCTACTAATGAATAAAGTGTTTTCATTGGTGAAAAAAATATAAGTATACGACAAGAAGGCAAAGTGCATTAAAGAACTTCATAGAACTTGATTATTGGAATCCTTATTTATTTTTAATCAAAGGGGGTTAAGTTATGGAATTAAAATAAAAAACTCACATTTGATTTTGTCTTGCACTATATAAATTACTCCGTATTGTATTATATTAGAAAGCTCATTATACATTTTAACTATGCATTTTTCGTATGTAGTACTACAAGTCATGCTCCGTAGTATACATTTTAACTCTACATTTTTGGTCTTCAAACATTATGCTCATGCTTCATCGATGTTTGTTTCTAAATTTTTAATCCTCCCCAAAACAATTGGATTGAGCATTTAATTTTTGGAAGTAGTAAATATATTGTAAAATTCGAGGTTATACCATGCTCATTAATTTAGAAACATTGTTCACTCTAATACTCTAATTTCATGCAATGTCTTCTTAACATACATAGATATATAATTTAAACCAACAACTCCATTAGGTGTTGTGTATGAAATACAAAATCAAAATAGACATATGTGACATTAATGTCATTAATGAGATTACCTTACTATCAATTATTGTCGAGCACAATCTAAATATCTTTTAATGTTATAAAATGAGAGAAAAACTACTCAAAAATTATAAGAATAGATATAATATATTTCTGATTTCTTCTCTCTATTAACTCTTCACTCTTCTTCTTATTCTTAATGGTGATTACAATGCAGGGATTAGACCTCTATTTATAGTGGAGAGCCTTGGTATGGATACAAATACAAGTGGGAAGTACTGTACATAATTGATACTCATCAATGAGTGTCTTAATCTACTATTCTAGAAATTAGTCCTGATTAATTGAATAAATGAACAATCATTAATTTCATAACACTCCCCCTTGAATGTTCATTTTTCAATTAATGATGAGTATTTCGTGAAATGGACATAGTTTAGTAACTCATTCTAATTTTATGTACTGCCTCGTTAAAAACCTTGTCAGGAAAAACCCAGTGGGATAAAAACCTGATCAAGGGAAAAAGAGTACAGTTCATAAAATTCTCCCCCTCAGCTTAGCATAAATGACGGAGGCGACGCATGCCAATCTTGTGTACGAGTTCTTCAAATTTCTTCGGGGGTAACGCTTTTGTAAATAAATCAGCGAGATTCTCACTGGACTTGATTTGCTTGATGTCAACTTTTTCATCTTTCTCGAGATCATGTGTTGAGAAGAACTTTGGTGATATATGCTTTGTTCGGTCTCCTTTGATGTAACCTCCTTTCACTTGAGCAATGCATGCAGTATTGTCTTCATATATAGGAGTCGGATGACTAGTAATTGTTTCTATACCGCACCCACTCTAGATATGTTGGATCATTGATCGCAACCATACACATTCTCTACCTGTTTCGTAGAGAGCTATCAACTCCGCGTGATTTGATGATGTGGCAGTCAAAGTTTGTTTCATCGATCTCCATGATATTGCGGTATCTCCATAAGTAAACACATCCTGTTTGAGATTTTGCTTTTTGTGGATCAGACAAATATCCTGCATCAGCGTATCCAACAAGAGTGGCCTTGGCATCTTTGCGGTAGAATAAACCAAGGTCGATGGTACCATTGAGATATCGCAAAATGTGTTTAATGCCATTCCAATGCCTCCTAGTCGGGGTCGAGCTGTGTCTGGCTAACAAGTTCACTGAGAATGCAATATCTGGCCGAGTGTTGTTTGCTAGATACATCAAAGCTCCAATAGCACTCAGATATGGTATTTCAGGACCGAGTATTTCTTCATCATCTTCACGA